TCAGTTGCTTTTCTCTGTATCCTGAATAAAAGTAACATATCTTAAAATAAGGTTCTACAGAAATATACATTTAGTATACAGTTGCTATCATGTTTTTGGTTGCACACATGTTTGTGATATTTTAGAATGCCATCACCTATGATGATGTGCATATCGACTTCACATGGAAAGAGTGGACTTTGCTGGACACTTCTCAGAAGAATCTCTACAAAGATGTGATGGTGGAGACCTACAGGAACCTCAATGATATAGGTAAGACTGTATTTTATTTCATATTTTGAAATAATAGGACAACATCAATTGGTTATTGTGTTCTTCTTTAACTTTATTTAGAGAGAAAAAAGAATGTGGTAAATATATAAGCCAAAGTTCTAAAGTTCAATGAAGACAGTAACTTAAATTTTGCACATGTTTCAATAATAAATATACATTTTCTGCTACTATATTTTAGGATACAATTGGGAAGACAATAGCATTGAAGAACATTGTGCAAGTTGTAAAAGACATGAAAGGTAATTTTCATTTATGAGCTCACAGAAATGTGTCTCTGAAGAAATTGGGATGTGTCCTGAATTTTGAAACAGAAACAACAGTGTAATTGAGCACAGCTTAAACTGCATTGATGGTTATTAAATTCTCAATAAACCATATAATTCAATTTCAGGTAGATGAACTGTATTTGCAAAATAATATTTAAAGAAAGACTACAACAAAAAATACCTTAAGAGAAATTACCACTTGAATAATCATACCATGAGAGCTATACTGTAGAAATATAATCCCACATATTTCTTACTATGCATATCACTTAAGTCATGGTTGATGTGATAAGCATATCTCCATACCTTCAACTGAGAAAACACTTCATAGAAAATTTAGTTTTATTCATGAACTTGCTGTTACTTTTGTAAGTTTAGTGACAGGGCCCTTACTGTCAAAAGCCAAGGGGCAGTTATTGCAGAATAACCTTAATCTCTCTAGCACATGTCTACAAGGAACAGAAAATGAAACTGAAGTAAATGTGGAAGCCTCTTCATTATAAACTTCCTTTATTAAGTATGTAATGTATTAGTTAGGGTACATCCACATGACCAAAGGAATAAAGAGGATATAATATACCACTCTCACAGAATATTTAAAAGACATGTAGTAGTCCCAATTTAAGCATACTTGTTGAGTTTGATTCATGTGTACAAGTATTTTATTTTCCTGCTTCATTGCTAATACACCAACAAGTTCACACTGCAGAAAAGTCCAATGAGTCTAAAACTATGTACATACTTCTGTTTGTTCTAGATCATTAGCAAATGTAATATGATTCAACATGTAGGAAAACTTCCTAATCCAATAATGGTGATAAAGATATGAATCTTTCCAGTTCACTTCAATATGCAAAAAATCAACTGTAAAAAAGGGTCTAAATATTAGAAACATATAATAGAGGATTATACCTATACTGGTATCTTCAAAGATGAAAAACAACACTTAATGTAGGGAAAACATGAGTGTTAACCAGTGATAAGCCTGTAAGACCTGATTCTTCTGCACAATTGCAACACATTATAATAATAATTTATACAGATATCAAGATTCAACATTGTATTGAATGTGGTAGGGCATTTACATGCCCATTTTCCTTGCAGGCATGAAGGAAGACAAACTGGGGAGAAGCATTCTGTATATACACAATGTCTTGAAGCCTTTGCGTGTTACAGTCATCATCAAAGTCATGAAAGAACACATAGTGGAGAGAAACCCTATGAATGTAATCTATGTGGAAAAGCTTTTGCTCATTATAGTCATCTTAAAACACATAAAAGGACACACACTGGAGAGAAACCTTATGAATGTAATCAGTGTGGTAAAGCCTTTGCCGTTACAGTCAACTTCATTTGCATAAAAGGAGACATACTGGAGAGAAACCCTATGAATGTAATCACTGTGGTAAAGCCTTTGCCTGTTACAGTCAACTTCAAATGCATAAAAGGACACATATTGGAGAGAAACCCTATGAATGTAATCACTGTGGTAAAGCCTTTGCCTGTTACAGTCAACTTCAAATGCATAAAAGGACACATATTGGAGAGAAACCCTATGAATGTAATCACTGTGGTAAAGCCTTTGCCTGTTACAGTCAACTTCAAATGCATAAAAGGACACATATTGGAGAGAAACCCTATGAATGTAATCAGTGTGGTAAAGCCTTTT